TATTTTTTTCCAGATTTTGTTCTATTGTACTTTATTAATTTATTTGATTCTTTTTATTAGTTTTTATTGTTTTTTATTTTTATTTTTTGTCTTAAATATGGTTTTACATTCTGTAAGCCGCCTCGAGTCGCCATGGGCAAATAGGTGGCAATATAAATTCAATAAACAAACAAACAACCTGTATAGAGTCTGTCTGAAACTGACTAGTTCACTGTCAGGTGCAAAGGATCAGAACCGTACATTACATTGCAGCTCAGATGATTTATTGTCTAAGCCTATACACAAGAACCTGGTCAACTCAAGTTCATCACTAAATTGGGACCACCAGATAAGGGTCAACAGAATTCAAGAGGGGTTGGACTTAGACCATTTGTGGGAACGTAATGAATCTAGGCTGATGGTTCGTTTAACTCCCCCCTCCCTTCCCCAGCTCTGCCTGCTCTTCCCCTACATCACAAAACACTCTTACCTGTGGAGCTTTGTCAGCTATTGCTTTGGCAGCTGCTACAACATTTTCAGTGATCTCTGATGCATCCATGCTGGTGTGCCCAATACGAACCATGCTGGAAAGAAATCCAGAATATTATTTTTTTCTGTTGGATTACAGATTCTACCTTGGGATAGAATCCTAAAGAAAGGGCCTTGAGCTCTGTGTGCTACGGAGGACGTACAAACTGCCCACCCTTCACAAAAAGCTTAACTTCACCCTCATCATAGCGGAGATTTCCCCATTTTTGTGCTCTTTTGGTAGGCCTCTTGGCCTGCTTGCCATTCCCCTTCAAACTGCTTAGAAGAGCTGGATTAGAGTAAAAAAGGAGTTTTTTGCAGATTTTACTCCGCTTTTTTGTTGCTGACTATACGGGCTGTTGGCTCATCTCTGTTTCAAGCCATTGAGCCAACACCATCTGAAAAAAATTCCATGGTCATGTGGCCAGCACGACATCACAGAGCGCCGTTACCTTCCCAACGAAGTGGCACCCAAAGAGCTGAGGTGGCACGGTGGTTAGAATGCAGTATTGCAGGCTAATTCTGCCGACGGCCAGCGGTACGAGTCTCACAGGCTCAAGGTTGACTCAACCTTCCCTCCTTCCGAGGTGGGTAAAATGAGGAGCCAGGTTGTTGGAGGGCAAGAGGCTGACTCTATAAACTGCTTAGAGAGGGCTAGAAAGCACCGTGAAGCAGTATATAAGTCTAAGGGCTATTTGCTAGCCATTTATCTACTTGCATTTCCATGCTTTTCGAACTGCTAGGTGGGCAGGAGGAGAGTAAGGAAGGGAGCTCACCCCGTCATGTGGTGATCGGATTTCAAACCTGGTCCGCCCGTTTTCCAGCCCAGCGGTTAAGATAACCGCTGAGCCGCCATGCCACCCACACCCCCAACATTAGAGAGCTGCAAGTCAAGATACTTACTAACAATTGCCCTTGTTGGTGACTGGGAGAACCGTTCCGTGGATGCGTTTGTTGATTTCCTTAGCTAGGTCCTTGGCTTTCAAGTCCACAGAGAGAGGCGCCCTGGTATTGGGACAGAGAAGGTAGGAAGTGAGATTTCCACTGCTTTAAATTCAGCGGCTAGAAAAGCTAGAAAGCGCCCTGGAGGGAGACCACAGCTGCGATATAAGGATATCTGCAAGAGGGATCTAAAGGCCTTGGGAATGGACATCAACATCTGGGAAGCCTTGACCTCTGATCATTCGGCTTGGAGGCTAAAGACGCAGCATGGCCTTCTCCAATTCGAAGAAGAGACACTCATTCGGCAAGCTGAGGCAAAGTGCGGAAGGGATTGCCACTCTTTGAATTGGCCTTCTGAGCCACACTAGATGCTGTTTTAGGACCTCTTTTCGGAGCATGATACCATCGTCGCGTGATGGCGAACCCATGGCATGCGTGGCACAGGTGGCACGCAGAGTCGTTTGTGCCGGCACACGAGCTGCAGGCAAACTTACCTCACCGCACATGCGCGTGCCTCACAGATGATTTTCAGCCGGTTTGAGGCCTTTTTCGGCCTCCCAAAGGATTGAGGAAGGCTTCTGCAGGCCGAAAACTAGCCCCGTTTCATCACTTTCTGTTTTCTCGGAAATACCAGAAGTGACAAAACGGGACTAGTTTTCGGCCTGCAAAGCTTGTAGAAGCCTTCCTCAAGCCTCTGGGAGGCCGAAAAAGGCCTCAGACTGCCCAAAAATCAGCTGTGAGGCGCAGTGCAGGTAAGGGGGCGGCAGGGGTGGGTGGGGATTGCGCACGCATGCGTAGGGGCCTGGGGGGGGGGCGTGAATTGCCTTCTGGGTGCTGGCACGCGAGTGCAAGCGTGCGCACACTTTTTTTGCACAGCAGCCCAAATAGGTTAGCCACCACTGCCATAGTCTCTCGAGACTTAAGGATGCCAATTCTAATTCAAAACTCAGCGGCTACATAACGGGCTAAACCAAATTACTCCAATTGGGGGATGATGGGAAACGTTACTCAACCTATCTAAAGGGCCCCAAGGCCAAGGAAGGCCATCTGAAAGGAAAACAGAGCAAAAGAACATAAAATTAGGCAAGCTCCATTCCTTTTGATCTTCCAGAAGGCTCTCAGAACCTGGTTACGTCTCCATGGGAGTCCTAAGGAACCGAGCCATGCTTAGATGGCTCCGCTATAGGTAGTCCTTGACTTACAACAGTTCATTTAGTTATGTCACTGAACAAAGCGACCTACAAGCATTTTCACTTCTGACCGTTGCAAGCATCCCCACGGTCATGTGATTTACATTCAGATGCTTGGCAACTCACATTTACGACGGTTGCAGTGTCCTGGGGTCACGTGATCCCTTTTGCAACCTGCCGACAAGCAAAGCCAACAGAGAAAGCTGGTTCGCTTAATAGCCATGTTGCTAATTTAAGGATTGCAGTGACTCACTTAACAAATGTGGTGAGAAAAAGCATAAAAATGAGGCAAAACTCATTTAACAAATTTCTCACTTAACAACAGAAATTCTGGACTCAGGTTGTGGCTGTAAGTTGAGGACTACCTGTATGGATGACGGACACTCTCTCTCTCTCTAGCTGGGGCTTGTCCATTTTTAATTTTTATTACGTTCCGTTTCTTTAACGTTGACTTTTCAATAAGTTTTGAATACGTATGTACGTGTACTTCACGCTAAGCTGCCCAAGAGTCATTTTTTTCTGACATGGGTGGCTAGATAAATTTGATAAATAAAAATGAGGCCAGGGATAGATAGATAGATAGATAGATAGATAGATAGATAGATAGATAGATAGATAGATAGATATATTACTTTTTACGCAGATAGAAATGTTTTCCCATCTGGGAAGGCAGCAATCTTCGAATGCGATCATCGGACAGAAAAAGAGCAAACCGGCTCAGCAGGCGGCGTTTCGCTTCAAAGGGCTTGTATTCAGTCTTGAACGTTTTATAAGAGATGACCTGCGAAAAACAGAAGGGGACAGGCAACTGTCAGGATTCCAGCAATCGCCCTAATTAAATCATGATTCTCGAGCCAAACTTTAACTTCAAAGGATACATTAGAGGCTACCTACTGGCCCTGCCCTGTATGAAGCCAACTCTGGCATATGTAATTTACAGTCACCTATGACCCTGTTCCATAAATCAGATTCTCCAACTGAGCACGTTCACAGGCTGGATGTCATCATTCACGTTCTCCAACTAAATATATTCGTGGGCAAAAGCTCTGGTAGTTTAGTTACAATATTATGAAGATAAAGAGTTGGAATGTACTTTCGTTTTCAAACTGCTGCACTGCTCTTCCAGATTTCCTTTCCCTCCCCCACCTTTTTAATGGTAACTACTAAAACAGGCATAGGAATGTTTTATGAGTTGACAACAACACTGACAGCCCCTGTTCCTAGAGCTTCCTGGTTAACACAGCATGCATTCCACTTATTTCAGGGCTGATACAACTGCATAAAATGAATGGATGCAAGTCCATTCCATCCCTGCTTATTTCATATTTAATGTTTTAATGTACCTTTGTTTTTATGAACTTTGTAAACCACCCAGACTTGACACTCAGATGGATAAGCATATACATTTAATAAGTCAAGGATTACTTGTATAAAGCAAGCTAAAAACCAAACGAATTACACCAAGCAATGCAACTCCGTCCCAAACGTACTTTTCGAAGAGGCAACTGGACTTTCTGGTTTTTCTTTGAAGACGCTTCACTTCTCATCCAAGAAGCTTCTTCTGCTCTGATTTGCTTAAATGTCTATGGAGATTTTCAGTCACCCAGGTGATGGTTGTCTCTAAAGAGGTGAAAATTCTTGGATGAGAAGTGAAACGTCTCAGAAACCAGAAAGCCTCTTGAAAAAAGGCACCTTTGGGACAACCATGACCTGGAGGACTGAGAATCTCCATAGACATTTACCTATGCTGTGCAACTATGGTTGGCTCAACAATCCATCATTGCATGTTTAAAGAAACTCTGGTGGGCATCATCTTTGGATCAAGTCAGAGTTTCGCTCCTTTCCCAAAATAGAGAAGAGAAGATATAGGAGAAAGTGTAGCGTTCATCGGAAGCTTCATACCTCAGTGATGGATGTGATTCCATGTCGGTCCAACAGCTTCTTGTATAAATTCTCGGTCTGTTCCGCTGTCAAGCCAGGTTCGTCTTTGGTAAAGAGGCAAATCTCCGAGGTGTCCGGCAGAATGCTATGGGGAAGGTTTCTAGAACACCAAACAGACCGCAGGCTTCAGCCAAGCAACAGCTGTGGGACCCCCTAGAAGAGGCAATGACGGGTCGTCCTCGACTTACAGCGGCTCATTTAGTGACCATATGAAGTTACGACGGCACTGGAAAAAGCGACTTGGGACCGTTTCGCGCGCTTGCGACGGTTGCAGCACTCCCCGTGGTCACGGGCCCCCAAATTCAAATGCTTGGCAACCGACTCATTTATGCAATTGCCTTTTGCGACTTTCTGACAAGCAGAGTCGACAGGGAAGCCAGATTTCACTTAACAGCCGTGTTGCTAGCGATTGCAATGATTCACTTAAGCCACAGCGGCAAGAAGGGTTGTAAAATAGGGCAAAGATATGTCTCACTTAGCAATATAAATGTTGGGCTCAATGGTGGTTGTAAACTGAGGACTACCTATATTGTCGATCTTCATTCAACAGCAGGGCTGTGCAATCTTGACAACTTTTAAGAGCTGTGGACTTCAAACTCCCAGAATTCTTCAGACGGTCATGATGAATTCTGGGAGACGAAGTTGACAGGTCTTCAAAGTTGCCAAGGTTGGACGGTCCTGCTCTACATCAGGGGTGGGACTCAAAAATCCCAGCAACTGGTTCACTGCCTGGTTACTGGGTGGGCCTACTGGAACTTCCTGCTTCTGGCCTCCCCCAGGCTCTGGAGGCCCAAAGGAAGCCGGAAATAGGCCCGTTTTGCCACTTCCGGTTTTCCCGGGAAGGCTGTTTTTTACCCTCCCAAGGGTGCAGAGGCCTCCTCTGGGCCTCCGGGAGAGCAAAAATGGCCTCCCCCAGGCTCTGAAGGCCCCCCGGAAGCCAGAAATAGGCCCGTTTTGGATTTCCAGAAGGCCCGTTATTTTCCTCCTCCCAGAGCCTCTGCATGGACCCTGTACTTACCTCCATCAAAAATGGGCCGCGTGGAGATTCCTGGGAGGACAGGGGTGGGCGAGGCCAGCCGGTCAGTTGAAATACCGGTTCAGTGAACCAGCTGTAACTTTAACATCTGGTCGCCTGAACCGGTAGAGACCTACCCCTGTTCTATATAAGAGCTCTGTTTTTGAACTGGGCTTATTTTTTTTTTGCTGCATCTTAGTTTCCAATCTTCCTAGTTATGCCTAACCGTGGATAGCCTTTCACTGCGTGGGGAAAGCAGGCCTAAAATACAGAGGTAGGCTTACATTTTGATTACTTGCTCATTTGGTGGAATTTTCCAGACGGTGATCATCAAAAAGACATTCTGATCTACGTCCAACAGCACTTTGTCTCCGGACTTCTGTTTCTTCGCGTTATATGCAAGCAAGGCTTGAGTGGCTTTTTTGATCTAGAACATAAAATTGTTATTACTCATAGAATCTCCATGTCTCAAAGCCAAACAGAACACGTTAATCCAGATGTGTTCCCACAGTCCTTAATCAAATTGGCCAAACAGGTTGGCAATCAAAGGCAGTGTAACACCTAAGAGTCAGAGGCTGGGGAGTTGCAAATGGGTAGTATAGTATAGGTGTCATGCCCCTGTCGGAATCTGATTCCAAGAGGGAGGCCGAGCAGCTGACAGGTAGTGGGAGTGTGACTCTGTTGGCTGTGGAGGAAACTGGGGAAGGGCAAAGTCCGGCTGGGCAGAGCAGGGGAGAGGTAGAGCAAGGCAGAGGGAATTCGGAGGAAGACCCAGGCCCACCCCCTCTTCATCCTAAGGCACGCAGGGAGGAATGGAGAAGAGACCAACGTGGGTTGCATGGCTTATGGGGGAGGAAAGGGCCCTGATTCCTTTCATAAGCTGCAGCTGGGAACACAGTGTTTGAAAAGAGGACTTGCGCACAGTAAACTGTTGAGAGCAAATCGTGAATTATCTGGTATTGTCGAGGCTTATCTGGGTTCCTGGTGTCTTCCCAACTGTGTATGTTTTGATGGCCTTTCAAGTGTGCAATTCCTTCTCCTGCCCTGTCAAGTTAATTACTGCAGCGTGGTTTGTGTGGATTTTTATTTACAGTTTGTATATACTTTGTTTTCGGACTGAATTTCTTCCACTTAAAGACTGTTCGTGGGAGAGTTTTTTTCTCCAGCCGAAGATAACCTGGATATTGGGAGCAAAACTGGAGGTACTAAAGGGACTCTTCTTACTTATGTGACTGTGTTGCCTTTGTGCCACGCCCCTTTGGGTCATCACAATAAGATTTCTCTGTGGTGGTTAAGGAATCAGGCCAGAAACGAAGAGACCATGAGTTCCAGTGCAGCCTGAGGTACAGAGCCAGTTGAGTATCCTTGGGCTAGTTCTTCTCTCAGCCCTGGGAAGAAAGCAAGGGTCCACCACTTCCAAAAATCTTACTAAGAAAACTGTCAGGATGGATGGATAAACAGTCAACTGGGGTGGAAAGTGCAAGGCTAAAAAGTTATTTGTAAAAATAATAAAGGCTGGATTTTTAAAAATGCAAAGTTTAGAGCAACGTTGGTCTAAGACACCAGACTAGAATGCGGGAACTGTGAGTTCTAGTTGTGCTTTGGGCAGAAAAGCCATCTGGGTCAAGTCACTCAAAAACCAGAGTTGGGCCATTCTCTCTCTCTCAACCCTAAGAAGGAAGCAATGGCAAAACACAGCTGAAAAAAACGTTGCCAGGAAAACTACAGGGATTTGATCAGGCAATCGCCAGGAGTCAAGCCTAACAAGATGTTTTAACAGACGAACAGAGTTGGAAGGAACTCTGTAGGTTATCTAGTCCAACTCCCCCTGCTCAAGCAGGAGACCCTGCACCATTTCTGACCGATGGCAGTCCAATGTCTTCTTGAAAGCCTTCAGTGATGAAGCTCCCACAACTTCTAAAGGCCACTTCTATTCCATTAGTTGATTGTTCTCACTGCAGAAAATTTCTCCTTATTTCCAGGTTAAATCTCTCCTTGTTCAGTTTCCATCCATTATTCCTTGTCTGGCCTACAGGCGCTTTGGAAAATAGCTTGGCCCCCTTCCTCCTCTCTGTGGCAGCCCCTCAAATATTGGAAAACTGCTCTCCTGTCTCCCCTGGTCACTAGACTTAGCCATACTGAGCCATACTACGTCGAAAGCACCAAATAATATTAAGAACAGCCATCATTGTACTAAATGTAGATGCCGCCCGACTCCCTGCGGTGATGTCAAGAGAGCGAACCCAGGCAATGGGGTTCAACGGGCAACGCACCCACAACGGGCGGTCCGCGTGTCGTGGGAACGCAACTCCTAGCAACCACACCGGCGGCGAAAAGGCAGCGCCCAGGTGTACATTTGGAGGGGGGGCGGGAATCCCTTCCCTCAGTCCGCCGCCTCACCTGGCTTTGGTCCAAAGGCAGCGCCGCCGCTTCTATCTTCGCCTCCATGCTTCTCCTTCCACGTGGGGCAGCCCTTTCTCCGCGCGTCGGCGCGCCGTGACGCAATCAGAAGGCGCCTCTTGCGGAGAGGAGCGGAAAGGCGCGGAAAGGCACCATAGAGAGGTAGGGCCAAAGGGAGCGGAGCCCTCGCGGACTTCCGATCTTGAAACCGTCGAATCACCCTAGATATATGAAACCGGAAGCTCGGGTGGAAATGGTTGGGGGGTGGGGGCGATAGGATCAGGGCATACATACATACATACAGACACACACACACACACACACATATATATATATGCCCCCCAATTGGATTATATTGGGGGAACCCTATATAAAAGTCCCCCCAAAAGTGGAATGTCATAGAGCAGGGGTGTCCAACCTTGGCAATTTTAAGACTTGTGGACTTCAACTCCCAGAGTTGAAGTCCACAAGTCTTAAAGTTGCCAAGGTTGGACACCCCTGTCATAGAGTATTGTACATCCATTCCCAGCCAAGTTTAACCTTCATCGTCATGGTTTCTCAAACTTGGCAACTTTTGTGGACTTCCAAGTCCCAGAATTCCCCAGCCAGTAATGCAGTTTGCAGGTGGCCAGCTGGCTTATTCAAGGAAAGCAGGAACTGTATTAAATTGGACTCCAGGTTTAACTGCATATATTGCATTGCAGAAGGTGGTGAGCACAGCACAAAACATTGTGGGCTTGTTCCCTGATACCACTAGATGACCTCGCTAGGGCTTGCTGCCTGAGAAGAGTGAGGAAAATCTTCAGGGACGACTCACATCCCAGGCAGTGCTTCTTTACTCTCCTACCATTGGGTAGGAGATAGAGAAGCATAGCCAGCTGCACCAACAGGCTGAAGAATAGTTTCTACCTGTGAGCTGTCAGACTCCTGAATGGAAAATAACTTCATGTCAACATAGGATAGACTTGCGGGGACGGCGCATTGTGCAACAAGGTCACACAGTGTAATAAGATTGGGACTGGGTTAGGGACTTCTGTCCTCACTGTAGTTGTGTATGTGTGATCCCCTACAGATCGTAATACAATCTATTTAATGTACAGCACAATACACTCTGAAGGGCCAACCATTTGTCACCCTGCTTAGGTTTTTCAGAACCAGCCAAGGACACTGAGTGATGCCTTACTGTGACTCTGCCATGAAAGGGATTGAGAGCACACTTGGAGAGGGGAGCCTCGAGAATCAGGGGCCCTAAGCTTAGAAATAATTCTCAATTATTCAGCAACAGATAATCAGCACAACTCGCTTTGCCAAATTTATTTTGCTGATCTCCCACCTTTCTATTAAACAAACACTCCGGATTTCATCCATGTTCAAACATGCCATGGGTTATAAAGACTTTCAGGGATCATTTCTATAGTATCCAACTAGAGAAATGCACCCAAACACTGGAGGCTTTCAAGAAGAGATTGGACAGCCATCTGTCAGAAGTGGTCTCCTGCTTGGGCAGGAGGTTGGACTGGATGACCTACAAGGTCCCTTCCAACTCTGTTAATCGGAGAGTGATTGGTTATGGCAAACAGAATCTGAAGACAGCCGAGTCAAACTGCAGCATCCTTCTCCCACACATAAGGGGCTATGGGGAGATGGCTACACAGTAAATTCTGCCGCAGTCGGAGAGACAACGTGGATGTCAACTCATAAAATATTTCTATGGTCTTTTAGAGTTGCCAACAGAAAGGGAGGTGGGAAAGGAGTTTGAAAGAGCAGTGTGGCAGCTTGGAAACCAAAAGTGCATCCCATGAATAGTTTTTTCAAAGATAGTAACTAGATGACTGAAGTTTCCACCTCGCAAAATTCTAACTGGAGAACATGATGACTCTTGGCTATGGATGTGTCCTACTGGAGAATATGAATTACGATACACCCAGGGGGTGGGGGGAAAACCAGGGTCAAGGGTGACAATGAATTATGTGCCTCAGAGTCAGCTGCACTGGATATGTTAACTCCCAATACATCCTTTTGAAGTTTTGGAAGCTTGGCTCGAGTCTCATGATTTAAATGGGGTGACTGCCGGAATCCTGACAGTGGGATAGTTAAGGCGCTAGAGTAGAAATCGGAAGACTGCTGGTTCTAGTCCCACCTCAGGTATGAAAGTCAGCGGTGGTGACTATGAGGCCAGTCCTTCTCTTTCGGTCCTAGGAAGGAGGCCATGCCAAACCACTTGGGAGAAATCTTGCTGAGAAAATTTACAAAGACTGATTGAGACCTTGGGATAGAGATGAAGGCACCAGGCTAGAAAACAGGAGACCGTTGAATTCTAGTCTCCCTTGAGCACAAAGCTAGCTGATTCTCTTTTTAAGAACCTGATCTTTTTTTGTTCCAGTTAGTCCGATTTTGAAATATGTTCAAGATGGCAGCTAGCCTGGCCCAGCCTTTTTTTGAATCAGGCATCCTCTAAGTGAGTTAAGAGTGAATGCTTACAGGATTCTCAATGAACTATTGTTTTGCTGGAATTGTGGAATGGCAAGGATGTTGGCTTGATGCTAGTATAGACTATCCCATTTTTTCCTGCATGCTGTGAGCAGTAGGCTCTTTTTAAGTTCTGGAATTCTGCACAGGAACTTTGCTCAAGTGTGGAAGATTATACCCAAATGCAGTGAGTAATCCAACATACCAAAGAGTGCCAGGTAGTAGAATGCTGTGTCATGTTCCTGTCAGAATGGAAGCCGAGAAGCTGACAGGGAGTGGGAGCGTGGCTCTATTGGCTGTGGAGGAAACTTGGGAAGGGCAAAGTCCGGCTGGGCAGAGCAGGGGAGAGGTAGAGCAAGGCAGAGGGAATTCAGATGAAGACCCAGGCCCACCCCCTCTTCATCCTAGGGAACGCAGGAACAGAGAAGGGAGCAACGTGAGTTGCATGGCTTACGGGGGAGGAAAGGGCCCTGATTCCCTTCATTAGCTGCAGCTGGGAACAGTGTATAAAAGAGGAAGCTGCACGCAGCAAATTGTTGGGAGCAAATTTGAATTTATCTCGTATTGTCGTGGGTTATCTGTGTTCTCGGCGTCTTCCCAACTGTGTGAGTTTTGCCGTTCTTTCAAGTTTAAAATTCCTTCTTCTGCCCTGTCAAGTTAATTACTTCAGCTTGGTTTGTTTGGATTTTTAGTTACAGTTTGTATGTATCTTGTTTTGGACTGAATTTTCCACAGTTAAAAACTGTTCCTGGGAGTTTTTCTCCAGCCGAAGGTAACCTGGACATTGGGGGCAAAGTTGGAGATAACAAAAGGATTCTTATTGCTTATTTGTGTTGCCTTTGTGCCACACCCCGGGTCATCACACTGTCTAAACTCTCCTAGCCTTTAAAAAACATACACAAAAAAACCCCTCCTTTCCCCTAGTTTGCTACTTAAAAACAAGGAATGATCCAAAGACAATTTTGTTGAAAAAGGTACGATAACTTAAAAAGCTTTCATATTACTGCAAAAAAATAAAAATAAAAAATAAAAGCCCAGATATTTGCAGACATAATAAAATTTATTTAAATTTTCATGCATTATGGTAGCTACAATTGTAGTCATGAATTTGGAGGACAGTCAACTTTGCTTCGTCCGTACAAATGTAGCCTTATGTGAAATGGACACGGTTACAAAGGGGAAAAGAAAAGGAAAGGGAGGCAACATTTTAAATTTAGAGCTGTGTAAAATGAAGCAGTTTTGTGACTGCCTATTTTTTTTTTTTTTTTAAGAAATGGGGCATGTTCTTGGAACATACCAACCAATATGGAAAAGCATTTTGAACTTCGCATTTGGAAAACCAGCCTTCTGTAATTCCAAAGGTGCTTTTTTTCAAGAGGCAATTTGGACTTTCAGTTTTTTTGTTTTTTTTAAGACATTTCGCTTCTCATCCAAGAAGCTTCTTCAGCTCTGACTGGATGGTGGGGAGTGGAAAGATTTATACTCCTTGCAGACAGAGCTGGTCATTTGCATTCTTTTTAGAGTCATTGAGGCCACTTGGAGGTTTATCTGTATCCTCAGGCTCACCTGAATTGTGCAAATGGGTGTGGAGCCTTCTTGGAACTGCTGCAGATAAACCTCCAAGTGGCCTCAATGACTCTTTAAAAAGGAGGCAAACGACCAGCTCTATCTGCAAGGAGTGTAAATCCTTCCATTTCCCCACCGTCCAGTCAGAGCTGAAGAAGCTTCTTGGGTGAGTAGCAGAGTCTTTAAAGCTAAACTAGAAAGTCCAGTTGCCTCTTGGGGGGAAAAAAAAGACACCAACCATGACCTGGAGGACTGAGAATCTCCACAGACAAATCAGCCTTCTGTAAATGAATGCAAGAATAGGAGATGCAGTTAAATGATTTTAAGCACCACTGTTATTCTCCCGCAGCTTATATCCCTAGCAATGGTAGTGATGCTGCCTGCTACTCATTACCAAAGGTACAAGCTTAGCATCCTAGTCTTACCAACAATCCAATGCAGTGTTTCTCAAACTTGACAGATGTGTGGACTTGAATGCTGGCTGCGGAATATTCCAGCTGTTGGAAGTCCACATACCTTCGGGCTGCCAAGTTTGAGAAACACAAGTATCAATATTCACGTTCTAGCTTTGCTTCCTTGTAGGTTCTTATTTCCTCAACCAAGTGCCCACAAGTTGTGTTGGGGGCTGTCGCTTTCGGAAAACTCCACTCCAGCGTCTAACAACTGGAACTTGGGTAGATCTCCAGATAACCATTTGGGGAAGGTGAAGCTAGCTCACATTGCCTGATATGCAAAAATCTGTAGACTCTGCTTGATTCTACTCAGATTTAAAAATATCCAGCTTTGAAGACAAGGTGGCAATTACCGGGACAATATCCAGATCCACACCTCTCTTACACAATGCCTTCCTTTCAAATCAACCTTTCTCAAGAAAGAAAAAACTACGAAGATTCTCCAGGCTTCCAAGTTAAAAGTAGCAGAGGAAGCTTTAAAATCCTAAACTGGCGCCCAAGTTCAGTTTTCGTACTGAACGTGATACGCCAGAATTATTGCAAGAGTTGTGATGTAACAGTCCTATTGAGTTTTAGTCACCAGCCTGTGCTGCTAGGAAAAAAAAAATGA